TCTATCTATCTATCTATCTATCTATCTATCTATCTATCTATCTATCTCGCCCGTCTCCCCTACAAAACGGTTCTGTTTTAGGACTGAAGTTCTGAAGGGGACGGTCCCCAACCCGCCACCTCCGCTTCTTGCGTGGAACCGCTCCAGTAAAAGCGTGGCTTAAAGCGGGCAAGCGCAAACTCTCTTCCCGCTCGAACGCCGGATGCTCTTGGCCCCGCCCCTCCGCTTGCTAAGAACTTTTTAAATAGAAGGCGGCGCGCTTGCGAATTACGGCCGCGTTCGAACTTGGAAGGCTGGGCGATGGCCCATTCTCTCGCCACCTCCTGATGCGGTTCTCTGGCAGCCTGTCTTAGTCGCCCCTGAAGCGACTTCCTGGACTTGCTGCGTGGATCTCTCCCCCGACCCATAGGGAATACGAGGTTTCTCCCGGCGCCAATTCTAGCACCCTTTTCCTCCTCACCATTGACCATCTTACCCCGTTGCTTTGAGGATCGTAAACAGAGCTTTCCCATTTCCCATCTTTCTCTTATTTCTTGGAAATCTCGTTGTTTTAAGCTGAACCAAGCACTTCTGGTAACTGGAAGAAAACGAGTTGATGGGTGGGGGAAAGTGAACCTAAGATCCCGTATTCTTTTTGATGCGGGGTAAATCCTCTTGGTGCAGCTAATGGGAAACTTCACAGTGCAGTGCACGTGTCAGGACTAAGTTTCTGGAGAAAACGAATTATTGATCATTGTAATTGAATATAGCTATATGTTATAGCAATACAGATATCTGTATAGACATATCTAAAGACTTCTCCACTGGCTCTTGTGAACCAAATATTTCAGTTTGATTGATAGAACCTAATTTTGCACCTCAATAATAACCTTGTGTTAGTCTGAAAGAGGGTAAACAACCCTAAGTCACCCAGTGAAATCTGTAGCTGAAGGTGGAATAGAATCTGGATCTCTCTATTAGTAAACTTTAATCACTGTGTTACACTTTTACTTTCTTCCAAGTTTTATTCATTTAGAGCGGACACCAACTTGATAGCACATAATCAATGCAGTATTCGGTGGTCTGCAATAATAATAATGTTTTATGATTATTATTTCATGGTTACAGTCTGTGAATTTGGAACCTCGGAAGGTAAACTTACTACCATATGTTCTTCTCTACCTAGTTATATAGGGTTGGCATTGCCTCTGTCATAGTCATATTTCTTCTTTCACTACAGCTGTATTTTCTGTATTAAGAATTAAAATTGATGCATTTGTGCTACTTCCCATGATTGATTGATGGGGTTTTAATAGTGTAGTATTTTTAATATAATCTGACAAATTATTTTGATTTATTTGGTTTGTACTCAGTGCCCTGTTGATCAGTTCCTTTGACTCATCTTGAGTATCTAATAACATCTTTTGGCATTTTCTAAGTTAAATGTTTTAAATATTGTAACATTCTTTTTTTTTCAATCAGAAAACCATTTTCAAGCTCTAAGTTACCTGTTTTGAGATTAGTTGATGAAAAAAAATAGGATACTGAATATTTTGCATTTGATCAGATTCTTATAAGGTTGATTCAGCCTTCCATCCTTCTGAGGTTGGTAAAATGAGGACCCAGATTGTTGACGGCAATATGCTGACTCTGTAAACTGCTTAGAGATGCTGTAAAGCACTGTGAAGTGGTATATAAGTCTAAGTGCTATTGCTATAATACTCTTTCTCATTAGCTGAACAGAATTATCCTGAGATGAACTCTGTTTAAGAGTTGGTCAAACTCTTATTAAAATAAATATGTGGCACTTCCATTTTATTGGGGAAATTTATGTTTTGTTTTAAATTTCAAATGAATGCTTTACTAATTAATGACTGCATTCTTGTGTACCAGAAATCTGCTTAAGCCAAGACTCATTCTGTTTTGGCTGATCATCAGGCTTGAGAATGGATGCTAATCAAACAATTGCCAGTGCTATTAAAAAGCCGAAAAAAAGGGGTGTCAAAAATAAAAAGAAAAGGTGAATTTAAAGTTATAATTCTTACATGAAAACATGTTTGTATTTTGTTTTTGTTTTTTCCTCTTGGGTTTATCTTCATTTTATGTTTGAATAGTTCATAGATATGAATGCTTAGTTATTGGCTTTTCCTTTTTCTAAAAATTTTCAGTAGATTCTGTTTTTCTTGCAATATCCAATCAGAGTTGAGGCAGCTCTCTGCTGTTTTTGCTTTTAATTTAAAAAAGAAGTGAAAGCTGATTCTCAATATTCATCAATAAATTTATTTTTAGGACACACTCAGAAATACTTCATTTCTCATTATTTTGTATTCCAAAATGTTGTTTTGTTTAGAAAAAAAACACCATTGTGGTACATTTTGTGTGCTATCATAGTAATAGGATGTGTTGTAATTTCATTTTTAAAATATTCTCCTTAGCTGGCTAAAAATGAGGATAATAACAATTCCTTATTTAATTCAAATCTTTATTTTTGTGAAGATTAACTTTTCAAGATGAAGCCCAACCTGAAGAGGAGTTACTTTTAAAAGAGTCAAAACATTTGTAAGTATCTCTACTGTGGAATCTACCCAAAATACCATCTAATTTTATTGATGATGATGATGATGTTATCCATTCAGTCATGTCCAACACTTGGCAATTCTATGGACCAGGTCTCTCCACATCTTCTTGTGCAAGCCATCTTTGTACTCTGTACTTTGGTTTTAGGATAACAAAAGCATGTAGCTTTCCTTTTGAGCTTTAATATTAAGCATATTCTAAGTTGATGAGTTTTCCCCTTTTAAGATTTTTTGAAGATGAGGACAGATACCTTTCAGATACATTTTTCTTCATATAAAATTTTATTTTATGTTTATATTTTGATATATTTCTAAAACTGTTTCAGTGTGTTCCAACATTTTTTTCCCCCTCTGTTTCAGAGTCACAGCAAAGACTACTACCTATCTTACCTTTGGCTTTGTTTTTATTAAAAGCTTACCTTATCATAATCTAGATATAGTAGGAGGTAAGAGAAAAATGTTACTTATTTAAATAAAAAGTCTGGAGAAATCGTTGAAATTTAAAGGGTTGTATATTTGAGCATTAGCAAAAGCAGGACCTAATGTTAAGCAAGGTTTAGTGAAACAAACTTTACACCCATAGACATACATAGATTGATCTCAACCCTTAGTGTTCTATATCCTACCACGAGAATACCACGAGAAGTCAAAAACCCTGTGCACCGTATGTAAGTGCCTAGGAAGAAAGAGAAAAGGAAATGATTTCAGTTAAGTAATCTCCTAGTCAAAAAGCGTCTGAAGTGATCAGCAAAGAGTGGACACAGAGTAAATCCTTAATCCTTTATCTTTATCTCACTGTCCACTTATTGTTTGGAAGACAGAAGTATTGAGTCAGTGGCCTTGATTGGAATCTGTAACCGAAACACTGTTGCCTTCACTTAGTCTTTTCTTTTGAAAAAATGAAGTAATTCCACAGAAGTTTTGAATTAACGAAGAAGCCATATTAATTTATTTCTATTTGTCCATGCAGATCACTACTCCCAATTTGCTTTTCAGAATAAGAGGATCCATCAAACAGCATCAAGAAGATACACTAAAGACTGAAGCATGTCTGTGGAGATTAATCCAGGTCATGGTTGTCCCAAAGGTGTTTTTTCCAAAAGCAACTGGACTTTCTTAGATTTTCCTTGCTCAGAGAGGTAATGATCGTCCTTCAGAGTGCTAATGACCAGATAACTGCAAGGAGTATAAATCCTTCCAGTCCCCACCATTCAAGCAGAACTGAAGAAACTTCTTGGATGAGAAGTGAAACGTCTTCAAGGAAAAAAAACAAAGAAAATCCAGTTGCCTTTTGAAAAAGCACCTTTGGGGCCAAGACTGAAGCAGGAATAGTAGTAATTTGACAACATTTGCTTGTTATCTTTTTTTCTGCAGAGGAGCATCTCTTGAGAAGAGCTTATGCATAAAACTCCATAGAGTTCATATTTATTGCCCTCCCTGTTTTTTGAATCTCACTTTGCTTTTTACTATAAAACAAAGCAAGATTATTTTGTTGATAGTTGTGATCTAAAAATACTCCTTTTCACAATCCTGTGTAGCAACGTATAACAACAGGAGTAAAAAACTGGTGCTGATAGATGGAAGAGGATTTTTCAGTCTGGATTTGTTACCTTCCAATTGTACTGGTGAGGTGAATCAAAAGATGGTCTTCCATTTCATTGTATATAGTCTATTTGTAGAGCTGTACCTACTATAAGAATCCAGAACTTCTGTGTAAGATTTATTCTAGCATTATATTTCATACTTTGATGTTAACTCTTTTTTGCTTCATTTCTCTCTTGAGTTCTTGATGTTTACCAATATATTTGTATGATTGTGTTTTATTGAATATTTGAATCCTTTTAGAAAATAATTTTCTTCCCATTATTCCAGAATTATTGGAAATGCATGAATTTAAATTTTTAAATTTGAATTTTAAATTTTCATTAAAATGTTGAGTCAAAATAAGGTAGCATTTATGCAACACATAAATTATATTTATGCATTAAATGGGCATATGTGCTTGTATGGATTTGTGTTATACTAGGAAGATTGGACCGTGGGCACTAGGATATATATTACAAACTGTTAAAAAGATAGTTGCATTTCTATGCTTTCTATCCAATAGTTTTCTCTTTTGCTATAGCCAATTTAGAAACACAATTATTAGTGTCTTCATAGATAGTTAATTATTTTTAAGAAAAGAGTATTATATATTCATTTAAGAATCAGTTTGGTTATCCAGTTTAATCATTATTTTAATATTTTAGCTAAAAGAGAGATGTATTTTCCAAAGTATCAATTTAATTTGGCAAGAATCATCACTTACTCTGAAAAATACAATGTTTACTTTGTTCTGCAAAAAGACTTTGCAATAAAGGTAAGCTAATATATTTCCTTATAATATATCCCTATCAAAAGCTCAATAATATTTTTAAGGTGGATATTTCTGGAATATTTGAAATATGAATAGAAAAGGCTATTTTCTAAAGTGCCTGTAGGCCAGACACGGAATAATGGATGGAAACTGAACAAGGGGAGATTTAACCTGGAAATAAGGAGAAACTTTCTGACAGTGAGAACAATCAATCAATGGAACAGTTTGCCCTCGGAAGTTGTGAGAGCGCCATCACTTGAGACTTTCAAGAAGAGATTGGACTGCCATCTGTCAGAAATGGTGCAGGGTCTCCCGTTTGGGGGATGGGGTTGGACTAGATAAACTACAAGGTCCCTTCCAACTCTGATTATCTGTTATGAAGAAAGAATTGACACTTCTAACAAAGCTACAGCAATGACTTCAGGTCTTTAAATTTATTAAAATAGTATCTACAGATTTGAGATTAGAATTGATTCATTCAAAATGTATTTAGGATGTGATAGTCATCCTAACTCCAACCTCAGATGATAATGTTGTTACTACAATAAACATTAAGATACTATAAAAACGTTATTGAAAACTAGAGAGTTTCTGAGAACAAATAATGATTGCTATGCATGAATATGCTAAAACAAATTGAGAGCTATATTGTTACAATTTACTATGGTAGATTTACAATTTACTATTAGAATTTACCTACTTGTTGCATCAAGAAAGGCTAGAATGACATTTTAGTGGGAATATTTTATACTTCGCAGGTTTGCTTTTTAGCATTCCATAGAATGCATTGAAAATGTGTGAAATATTAAGGATTTCATACTTTGATACCCCATTTTTGGCATTCTATAAATTTCCTAGGTATTCTATAAAATGTGTAATTTCACATATTGACGGTAACATATGTATCTTTGGTAGATGGCATTTTGTTTGCAGTGTTGGCTCTGTTTTAAACAAAAAGTTTTCTCTCTTACTTCTTTTCTTGCTTAAATGCTGATTTGGTATTTTTTTAAAAAATATATCCATGTCCTTTACAGAATTCTAAAATTTCAGCAAATACATTCGAACATTATTGCTATAAAGTACAAATAAAAAGTAGAAAACAGAAGATAAAACCAAAGCAGAAATTGATAAAAATAAATAAACAGCATAAAGTATATGTGCTAAAACCATCCTTAAAAGGAAAGTCTTCAGCTCCTAAAAGGTTATTGGGTATATAGTTAAATTCTTGGTTTGTTGCTTTTTTTGTATTCCATTAAATTTTTGATACATACATTTGATATCAGTAATTGTTTCTTAAGGTTTACAACAAGAACTATGCTGAAATTTGCTCTATAGATAATCCAGGTTTAGGACGGATGACATACATATCATTTAACCCAGTGAAAGAGGAACTTATCAGCGGAGGAATCACTGGAGTGAAGGTGATGGTTTATTTCCTCCTTATTGATAGGTTGGCTTGTTGCTGAAATGATCAGTAATATGAAAAACTGGATGTTTGGGAAGGGATCTGTATAAAACCAGGAGAAACTATATCTTGCTATTTAAAGCCCTACATATTTATCTGTTATTCCTGATAACTCTATGACAGAAAAGAATAGAATTCTTTATTGGCCAAGTGTGATTGGACACACAAGAAATTTGTCTTCGGCACATAAGCTCTCAGTGTACATAAAAGATGTAAGTGATGAATCATAATCATCATAAATACATTCATCATGAATCATAAGATACAACACTTAGTGATAATCATAGGTTACTAAATAAGCAATCAAAATCATACCAGGAAACTAAATAAAAAAATATAAACCGTAAGATACAAGCAATAAGGTTATAGTCATAAGTGGAAAAAGGAGAAAGATATAGGAAGGATGAGAAGAATACTGTCTTAGTAAATAGTTTGACAGTGTTGTGTGAATTAGTTGCTTAGCAGAGTGAGCCTGTGGGGAAAAACTCCTTGTATCTATGTCAACTAAAAACACTTCTTTGGTCATTTTAGTTGCACTCAGAAAGGGAATTTAAATGCTTCAGATAATCACTTTGGCAGCTGAAGCTTCTGGTGCACAAAATTATTACTGGAGATCATGTTTGATGACTCTTGGCTATGGATGTGTCTCATTGGAGAATATACATCCAGAGGGTGGGGGAAGATCAGGGTCAAGGGTGAAATGAATGATGTGTCAGAGTCAGCTGCAACCGGGAAACGCCAACATGTCAACTGTCAACATGTCAACAATAAATCAATCTTTTTTACTCTGAGAGATGAGGCTAGGACTTAGGATTTGAATGGGGGTGCATGTTGGAGTCCTGACAGTCTAGTTGTTTTTGTGTGCAATGCTCTATAATGTTATTTTGAGGGTAGAAGTTGAAACAATTTATGTCCAGGATGTGAGGGGTCTGTGGATCAGAAACCTCTTATGATCAGAATGATCAGAAGCCTCTTAGGAAGTTGGGTGCTTCTTTCAGGTACTGTTGAATGCAGGAATTTTATTCAAAAAGGAACAATCTGGTCCATAAAAATATAATTTCTCTGTCTTTCTTCTCGACTTATTGGATTTATTGGCTTCGGGAAAGAAGAAGTAAGGCTCATGTTATCCTCCCATCAAAATGTATGTAATTCTATGAATATATTATCCAAGCAGTTATTTTGAGAATAGACTAGTTTATCTTTCTGAATTAGTCAACAAAGTGTATCATGTGCTCACCAGAGAAAAACAGGTATGGATGAAATGTAATGAAGGCAGCCATTGCTATGAATTGGATCTTTTCCCACAGATCTCAGGGCTCCTGGGTGCTCTCTGAGTTTGGTTATTTTCTTGCAGATATTTCATTACCCAGACTGGGTAACATCGAGAATGAGAACAGCGAAGACCCCTCATTTCAACCCTGATCTACAATATTCTCCTTCATTGATATTACAGAACTTAATAATCAGTTTTTTTAAAAAACCATAACTTCTCTATAATCCCATTATGTCTCAGCACTGTGTTACAATATTTTTCCTTAAATTTCTGGATATCCACTTCAAATATCAAATCATAGTTGGTTTATTTTACGTATATTTATGTAAGCTTATACATATATTTATATTTCTTTCTGTCTTTTAGACTTGGAAATTTAAAGAAAAGAAGCACCCACTTGATTTTAATCCTATTCCAATGTACAATTACAGTCTTTTCCTTAGGTACATTATTCCTCTGAACTTTGAACAACATACTCCACAGCTATGAGATAAATCTCTGTATATGTTTTGATTTTATTGATTTTGTTCTGAATCAAGTCAGCTCAGTTTTCACCAAATATTAGTGAAAAATATTGATATTTTATTATATTTTGTCACAAATTATGTAACTTAAATATATGGGAATGCGGTATAATGCTAAGAAAACTATGTCTAACCATAAGAATAGGAGACAAAATTAAATTGCTCTGTTCGTGTTATATTTGCTAAGTGCACAAAACATTTTGAACTTAGAACAACCATTTTGAATATTCTGACTTTCAAAACAAATCCCATATTTTTCTTGCAGTTTGAATGTTGAGTACTATAAAGTCACAATGAATTCCACGCCATTCCTAGGCTTGGAATTAGTTATTTCATGTATTCTGTTCTCTATGCAACATGTATACATTTCAGAAATTTTGTTTCATGCTTAAAATACAAAAAGCACTCAAACCGTTTCAGATTTTGTTCTGCCAGAACACAATCACCTCAGTTTTCACCAAACATTAGTGAGAAATTATTGATATTATTTTCTCATAGCACTGTTATGGGTTTGTAGAAAAAAATATGCTTTTACTTGTTAAAATGCTGGGAATCTCTTTCCTATCTGATTGAAAGAGTTCTCTTTTGTTGTTGTTAAGAAAAACAGATCTAAAAAATGTTTATGGCATTTTAATAATTCAATATTTTGCTATTATTTTGAATTGTAGTACAGAATATCCACACATGGGGAAGAAATGGTGTACAAATATGGATTTTGATATCACTTTGCAAAGATATTACTGCTTTTCTGGAGGCCACTTTTTCTGCTATGATATCAATGGGAAACTGCTACTTGAGATACTCAATGCACATGAAAGATCTATTATCTCTTGTGTCTACTCATCTAATCTTAACATTTTGCTTACTGCTTCAAAAGGCAATGAAAGTAAGTTGGCAACTAAAAACGTGTGTGTGTATGTCTGTGTACTGTTTCTTGTTATTGATTCAATTATTTTAATCAACTTCTAATGGTATTAACAAAAAGATGTTCATTAATATTATGAAATTTGCACTGCTGATGTAGAACTGATATTTTAATGTACTGTATTTAGTTACCTGTACATTTTTCAGAAAATTGAACAGGAACAATGGGTGACACCTCAAAAGATACTACCTTTTTATGTAGTGAAGACAGGCAGATATATAAAAATATATGTAAGATAACCTTTAAAAGGATTTATATGCTTGGCATGGATAAGATTAGCTGGAGCTAGTACCCAGATGTTTGAGCTTGCTTTCTACAAAGTGAAATTTGTTTATTTACTATTTATGGATGTATTTATTTATACTGTTAACTGCCTACTTCCCTCCCAAATTCCTTCGTATTTCTCCTAACTATTCTATTAAACCCATGAAAGAAATTTGCAATTTTAAAAATCTGTTTTATTCCATGAATTCTAATGTGCAACTAATCCTTAAAAGGAATATATGTTACACTTAACTTCTAAGAAGATGAGATTTCTCCCCATATATATTTTCCTGTAATTTGGAGATGGGGGTGGGGCAGGAGAGGGTAATCTTATGTTACTGAAAATAAAGAACAAATTAAATACTTTTACTTGGAAGATTGTGGATATTTTTTCAATATTAGTTTAAAGATTAACTACTGCTTGGAAGAGTAATATCTAATTATTTCTAATAATTTCTAATTATTATTAACACTTTATTTAATATTTAAATGGGGCTCCTGTTTTTTCTATCGAGTGATCTCTTCCTCTCAACTCAGCCCTAACCAGTTTGTCCAGTTTGTCCCCCTGCTCCTTTTTCCCTTCCCTTCCCTGGAAAGTTTATTTCTTTGTTCAACGCATATAGCTGCCCATCTTGCATATGTGGATTCCAACTTTATACATGTAACTGGATCTATGTTTTTCTTGTCTTTTTTAATCCAGTAAAATCTTGGAATGACCAAGGCTGCTTGCTCCATGTATTTCAAGGTCATTCCAAAACGGTTACAAAGCTTCTGCTGCACCCAAACACTACTTCTTTATTTATCTCTGGATCTCTAGATGGATCAGTCAAACTCTGGTCATTTGATAGTATGGATTCTTTTTACAGGTAGCTGATTTTTTTAAAAAACAATCTGCATATCTCCTGGATTGATTCCAAAGACACTGTTACAAAGAAAGTTTCCTGAGCATCAGTCCACCTGTTTCCCATTATTAAAATATGTATTTCTTTAAAAAAAATATCAGGGCATTTCAAAATTTAAAAAAACATTCACAGTGCTATAATTGTGAGTATACTTTGCAGCTCTGGAACATGCAGAGAATGTCAGATTGTTTTGTCTTGTTATCTTGGAAGTAACTAGTAACTAAACTTTCCTTGTGAAATTCAAATTTTTTTCCTACTGGCTCTGTGGATGTAGCTGTGGGCGTGACTTGGTATAATAGTAATAGCAACCAGGGGCGATTTTTTACCAATTCAAATCATCCCTACCACCTCTCCTGAGGTGGGCCAAGGTGGTTGAATTTCACCCCTGCTTTAAATCCACTATAGGTACATCAGATTATGAGTAAATTAAAATTCTTCATTCCCTTTAAACAATTAAATAGCCTTTAAACTATGTCTTAATTTTTAAAAGAAATATTGGTTAGCTTGCAAAAAAACATACATAAAACAAAAAAAGCTGAAAAGTAATAGCAAGGGAATTATAAAAATATAAATAAATGCTTTTAAATATGGTGAGATAGTGGTAAATTTGCATTGAGAAGCCTTTTGATAGGAAAACAAAGAACAGCTATAAAAATGCATATAAAAATATCAGGGTATAGAAATTCCATTACAAAATATTGAATTTAATGGAGCCATGGGGAGAGGATTGATTGCAGATAGAATTACCTGCTCTAATTTCAGATGAAACTAAAATGATGAAACTGAAGATAAGAATCAGACTTATGGTTAAAAATAATCTTCCTGGGAAAAGCAGGCAATTTTCATGAGCTAGGCAAATGTTGTGGAAGATTTCAGTGATAGAGTAATGTCAGCAACACTGCACATATTAAAAGGGAAAAGATTTCTAGCAAGAAATACAGAAATAATAAGCTGTACAAACATCAGTTTAGAAATTAGATAGTTTTGATGTCCTCAAAGCAATTGAGACATTCTATTAACAGTTTTTAAATGTGCAGAAGGACTTAGGGTGACAGGATATCTTTGGATCAATTTCGTATCAGTTACATACAATAAGTAGGCTAATATTAAGCTTTTAGAATATAAAATATAAATAGAATAGAAATATTAAATTTGTAGTGCAAAATAGGCTTCAAAGTAAGCTGGAGTTAACATAGATAGGAGTACATATAAAGTTGTTTTGAATTAGTGTCCATAAAGAATTTTTTTTATCAAATGTTGGATTGCACGAATCATTATAAATACCTCAATGATGCATAACTATAGTAGCTTTCAGGTGGAGTTAAATAAAAATTGTGCAGAACGTGTTTTGCACTTTTCTGTGTAATCTTCTGTGATTATACAGAAATTATTACATCCGTCATCAGACTTGGCAATCATAGGATCTCCAACATGATTCCCAACATCCGATGACGGATATGGCACAAGAAGAAGAAGTATGTAATAATTTAATAAATTATGTAATTTGTTCATTTATTGACGAAAGTACAGCCTTCAAACAAATTACCTCAGGTATTTAGAATATAATTCTTATTCCCTTCAGCCTCCCTATTGGTTGGGAATGATGGGAGTTGTATTCTAAAACATCTATTGAAGGCTCTGGTACAATTGTACAAATTATTATTTTATGCATATTTTGTTCTGTCGCACATTTGAAACTGGTTGCTTCAGCAGTACATAACTGCAAGGTGACTTCCTTTTTTTCTTACATTTGCTCTATACTGCTATTCTTCTTTATCCAGCTTATCCCTCTTCCAAGAAGGAATACTTTCAATTGGCACGATGGAAGATAAATTTCTTTACTGCTGCTCTGCTCATAATGTTCATATTTATGATCTGAATTTATTTACCAGCTTTTGGAGTCATGTCAACAGCCCAATAAACCACTTTCACATCTGTAGTGCTGTTGGGAAATCCAACAGGGTGGCTGCAATGGGTGTTGATAACAGGTATGTAAAATAGTAATAAAAGTGGCAATCCTCCTTTAAACCATTTTAGGATTTTTGCTAGATATTGATGTTTTTAATATGAACTAAATTCTGATAAGAACTGAAATAGTCCCCAAATAGGTACACTTGTGGATAACAATATCTGTTAAAATAGCAATAGTAATAGCACTTAGACTTAATACCACTTTACAGCCCTCTCTAAGCTGTTTATAGAGTCAGCCTATTCCTCATTTTACCCGCCTCAGAAGGATGGAAGGCTGAGTCAACCCTGAGCCTAATGAAATTTGAACTGCCAAATTGCAGGCAACCTGCAGTCAACGGAAGTAGCCTGCAGTACTGCACTCTAACCACTGTGCCACCATGGCTTATGTTACCATATACTGTATAACTAAAACTACCCTAATTTATGACGATTGACTATATGGAAGCATGGTATGACAACAAAATATTTAAGTTTTATTTTATATAATAACTCTGAAATGGTTTTTTTAATAACGTTTACTAAATTTGCTCTGTTTATTTTCAAAGTTTAAGAATATTTTCTGTTCAAACTGGGAAGAAATTATGCACTGTTTTGCCACCTCCTTATCCTCCTATGCTACAGCCAGTTCTCAGCTTTACCTACAACCGAACTTGTGGAACTATTTATTTTCTATTGACACCCTATGATATATGGATTTATACAGCAAAGTAAGAGAAAGTATGATACCTCTATTTTAATAACAATTGAAAATAGATATTATTTTAGGAGAGGTTAATGAGTTAGATATGAAAAATGAGAAAAGTTGAACATAGAAAAGGACATAGAATAGTAGAGTTGAAAGCGACCTTGGAGATGTTCTAATCCAATCCCCCACTCAAGCAGGAGACTCTATACCATTTCAGATAAATGGTTGTCTAGTTTCTTTTTAAACACCTCTAGTGATGGAGCATTCACAACATTTGGAGGCAAGCTATTCTATTGGTTTATTGCTCTCACCATTACGAAATTTATCCTTAGTTCTAGGTTGCTTCTCTTCTTGGTTAGTTTCCATCCATTGTTTCTTGTCTTGCCTTTTGGTGCTTTGGAAATTAGTTTGATTCTCTCATCTTTGTGGCAGCCCCTGAGATATCGGAGCACTACTATCTTGTCTCTCCTAGTACTAAGTTCTGAAAACCTAAGAGAGAAAAATTGCAAATATATGGTCTATATTTAAAATGTAATATATGGATGGAATTGATGGCATTAATTGATAGAAATGGGCCAAGGCTTATAATATCAGAATGTTGTGGAGCTAATTTCAATGAAAAAGAAATATTCGTTGTTTTGCTGATGGATTTCAGAACTAAAACGAAACACGCATACATTAGTTTTCAGCTTCAGTTATCTTAGGAAATGAAAACATTTTAACAAATGTAAACAAAGCAGTTGAAAAACACTTATTTGTTTTTACATCTTTATTGTATAATTGTGTTATGCAGGGGTGGGATTCAGTTTTTTTAACAACTGGTACTGTGGGCATGGCTTTGTTGGTGGGTGTAGCTTGGTGGTCATGTGACTGGGTGGGCATGGCCAACTCAACATCACTCATGTCAAGGGGCGCTTCACCTTGCCTGGCCTCTCATGACAGTGGGGATGCTGCAACAGTCATAAGTGTTAAAAAATGGTCATGTCATTTTTTTCAATGCCATTATAACTTTGAATGGTCACTAAATGAACTGTTGTAAGTCAAGGGTTACCTGTACAAAAATACAAAAAGCTTCTTTGCTTGCAAAAAGCTGCCCTAAATATCAATCATTAGATTAAAAATACCTGCAAGCCAGAGTTACAAATCAGGCAGGGTGCCAGAGCACCTTGAGGAATTAAAATAGTTAAAATACAGTGATAACTATCAGCAGCCAACTCCTGCTCATAAAGTGAAATCCTTTAGCAGAGAGGTCATTTAAGTTCTCCAGAAAAAGCACACCCAGGAGAAGCAGTCCTTAGATCTATTTGCACCACTTAAAGACACCAGCTGGTCTCACTCACCTCACAAGATATCCTAAGGAAATCATCCAGATTTAAGGAAAGGTCACATGCCCCCCCAGAAAGGCAGTAAAAAAAATCAGTGCCAAGCTTGCATTCTGCCTCTTGGAAGTATACCCCAAAAGGACAGTGCCAGATAGTACTAAAGCAGTGAAGGAAGACCCCCTCCCCAGATAGAAAAAGAAACCATGATGCAAGAAAAAATTCAAACACAATACAAATAATTAAATCACAACAGTAACTGTTGCTTGTTGAAGCTGAATAGGGAAAATTATCCCATCAATAAACACAGGATTAAACATCACCAAGCACAGAATTAACCTTCACCAAAAACCAGTTTTAGACCAAAACTCAGAAAGGGTATATAAACTCATGTTTGAAAGTCAATCTTTCTAGCTAGCCAAGAAGCTTTGGTGAATGTCACTCATTTTGGCTCCCTGTCACTAAAAGCTTTGCTTCATTATTCAATTATTTCTTCAAAGTGCTGATTGTCCAGGAAAGTATTTCCTCCCAACAGCAGTGTAAAAATCTTAAAGCAACCCTTCCCCTTTAAGAAAGCCAAGCCTCATAAGCTCAGGAGACAGGAAGTCTAGGCTGTCTGCCAAGAATGTAATATAGGTGGAAAAAACAAAAGGAGATTGCTTCTAACTACAGGTTCTCCGAACTGCTTAGAAAGTTAACAAGAGGTTCTATAGTCAGTCAGAACCAGTAGAATCCCACCCCTGGTGTTGTGCCAATTGTGTTGTGTTGTGTTTTTAATTAATAAAAATATTTGAACCGTTAATTTGGTAAAAGAAAATTCATATATAAGAATATGAATTTGCTTCCAACTCCATAGTAATAGGCCATCTTGAAATCTATGATACTTTTATAATTTTTTTCCAAGTGTTCACAGTTCCAACTTTTGATTTTCAATTTACATTTGAATATGGGCAAAAAAATAAGAGAAATAGCAAGCTATCATCTGAATAATAAGGCTGACTAGAAACTAATTATCAGTCTCCAGTATTTTCCAATATCTTTGCTGTCCAATATATGTGCTTGCTTAGCTGAATAGTTAGGGTGACCTTTTTTCTTGGGCAATCCTAACAGGTATATATATTCTTGACGTACAGTCCCTGTATTCTTTAGTGATCCCCTCTAGGAATAACAGTCTTTCATAATGAGATAGAATACCAGGACTTGAAGGGAAATCAACAGTAGCTCTATGCTTTTTGGTTATAAAAGAGTTCTTGGCCAAAATTGCTGGCTAAGATAAGAAAATCATAATATTAATTTAAAATTAATTATAATTTAAATTTCCATTTGGTTTTTAATCAGCCCTTCTGACTGGCCCCACTTCCCTATTCTTTTTAAATCAGAGCCTTTGGTTGTTATATAGAAATTGTTGACAAAAATGCATTGCCTCTGACAATGTGCTTAATGAATATTGGTTTAAATGTCAGTTCTGATTATTTACAGATGCTGTGCATCCTTAATTCCTAAAAGATAGTTTGTATTAATTTTCAAAAGATCTTATCTTTGCCTGTGAGGGGGGAGATTCAAAATTTTTTCCTACCAGCTCTGTGGGCATGGCTGTGGGCATGGCCTGGTATACTTGCCATAATAGTAATAGCAACCAGGGGGGATTTTTTATCTATTCAAATCGTCCCTACTTCCTCTCCCCAGGTGGGCTGAGGTGGTTGAATTTCATCCCTGGGTAAGATAATGACCAGCTTTCTGGTTTTTGAAGCACTTGAAAAATAATATTTAAAGGGATTGCTGACACAAAATTTGAAAAAAACAAAACACCTGCAATTTCTTATATTGTGTTGCAATCTGAAAAACAGTTGATTGGATATTTATGTCAACATATGCAGCTACAGTTAGTGAGAACATGGAATATAAAGGACTATTTTTCGCCACATTGTTCATTCTAACATGAAAAGACAATGAAACCAACATCAAAAGACAGCTCAAAAAATAATTTCCCAAATGAAATTATCAGAGTATTTTTTCCTGCTTTCAGTGTCAAATGCAGCTTCCTATCTTTCATTTTTATTGTTACAATAAAAACTTTTAAAAAAATGAAAACAGCATTTTGTATGCAATGTATGTTTTTGGTGTTAATTACTTCTTTCTAATACAATACTTAATTTCAATTTAATCTTAGTTAAACCCATTATTATTGCTACTGGTATTATACACCTGACGTTGGTTTTTTTTTTTAGGACTGATCCTGCATGCAGAGCAGCAGTATGGACCACAAGGGAACTACAAGAACATTTACATCGAAAACACCCTTTAGCTTCGCAAGTATCCTTAATTTTTGTTGTAATTAAACCAAATTGTTAGACAGTTTTTTCATATGTTATAGAGAAGTTCATTAAAAAATTGGTTTGTTCAAGACAAGACATTTTGGTGGTATTAGCGCACTACATTTAAAATATTGGGTTTATATAATTCATTCTTCAAAACACACCATAATTTTGCCTTACAAATTTCTAATGCAGTGATCATTTGGAAAATTATTTATTTATTGCATTTATAATAATCCTTTCTATTCAGAAAATGCAGAAGATAGCTAAGGATAAAAACACCTTTACAATTAAAAATCATAGATCTAGATAAGGTCTTTAATTTAAACAGTGGTAGCAATTAGTGGTATCTTTCAAGAAACTCCATGCCATAGAACTGGAGCAACAAACAAAAATGAAAGCATTTTTAGGAGGTTTCCCCAGATATCAGTACCCAGTCATGGCCCCTTAGTCAAGTCCTAAGATATTTAGGTCAAAAGCAACATTGTGGCCAGAATGAAACTGAAAGCAGTGTAGGATTTTCAACATAGAGATAACATGTGCATACTACCATGATAATTAACAGCACACTGCATCGTTAGCGTGTATCAGCATTAGAATATTACATATATCCTCTTGGTGGTGGGATGTAAAATACTCTATATTGACTTGCAGAATACTCTTTATGTCTGAAGGAAAATGATCTAATGAAGTGGAAGAGAGCTGAATGAATGTAGGGATGTGAAGGTGTAGGTTTGATTACAAATGAAAAGGCAAAAGTTTATCTCACAGTATATGAGCTGTGTTTTTAGGTTGTTTAAGGCTGTGCATGAAAACTTAGAACTGTTATTTCTTATGCTGCGGTAATTGGTAATAATGGAAAAACTAGGTAGCTTCTGGATCAGAAGGAAGATGGTCTGATCTTGTGATAGTCCCCCCAAATGGCTTTCCAGAGAATAGAGACCGGGCTTTTTCAGAAAGCCTTTCATAATCACACAAAAAGATGGGGAAAGATCCGAAGAATCAGAAAGAATGAAAAAAATGCCTCTGCACAGTGTTGCTGGATAAAATTGTTAAGACTACTTTATTTAGCTCTTTGGAGCAGCCAGATCAATGTTTAAGGTCCCATAATCATTCAACATCTTCTGCACATGGCCTGAAAGTGAAGAATGAAAATTGCTAATGCTTGATGCAAACCCAGCTGACATCTTACAAAGAGATCAAAGAGAACTAATAGGACTGCGTTTCCCTTTCATAGCACAATGACCAAAGCAATCTCAATCTTACATCCAAGCAGAAGCCTGTTTTGTTTCATTTAAAAAAACCCACAGGAAATAAGAGCTTCCCAATTACCTTTATGGAGTAGCTATAAGACTGCTCTCCATCAGACCTGATCAACTGATTGGGTTGTCTGCAGAGGGATAAATACTTACCTAAGAGAGCTATCTGGCTGATTGAATCAGCCATGTCATGCAAATAAAGTCATTATCTGAGAACTTAAGTAAATTATTGAAACATCTGATCAGAGCAGAAATGGAAATTAGAACTCTAGCTTAACGTTTGTATCTGTTATCTTTGCAAGCAGTAAAGAAATCAGAATACACAATAAGCTAAAGATTATGCAAAGTAATAGGGATGGTTACATTTTTATGTAGGGGAAAGATTTTCTTTTTGGATTTGTGCAAAGATAAACTAATCAGAACAAAGGATTTTAGAACAGACTTTTAAATTTTAATTTTGTTGATGTAACCAAAGCAGAGAAACTCCACAAGTTTTTTTTTGTGGGGGGGGGGTAAACAATAGGGTAAATATGCTTCCAAGGAATAATATCTCAAAAGAAGAAAAGAACCCACAAAAATGAAACAAGATTGATGCAGAGATTTTAACTAAAATATAAAGATGTTTCTCTTTGTCTACAAATGGCTGGAGAAGTTTTTCACTGAAATAGAAATGATCCCTGATCAGGGGCTACTACATTTCCTCATGTAATCTCTTAAAATAATAATAACAAATGATTAAATTTATATGCTGCTAGACTCTTAGCAACTCAGGGAAACAGCTTCTTTGGGAAGGGAAAAAGCTACTGCCTACCATGTTGAAATAGTACTTTGCAGGCATCTGCTCACTTTTGCTGTTAGGATGGAATAACTTTATTAGGAAAATGATATGTTCACATTGTATATTATGACTAACAATTGATAATGAATAGTTGTGTCTGATAAATGTGAAACAGCATTGATCAAAATTGCTTTATGAAACTGTTATCTCTTTTATACAAGTAAATTGACTTACAACTGATAGATACTTATTGATTTAAAGGTATCTCAATATATCTTCCTAGATGTATTGAGAAAAATGGATATTTTCAACATACACAAAAAAGGAACTTTAGAACTTCAGCAAAATGTGAATGCCTCTGCAGCTTGTCCTCCTCATTATGTTACTTGGCGGATGAAGGAATGATATATGCAGATAATCAGGAATTTCTGGTTCTCGGTATGCAGGTAAAAATGCAGCTGGATATAGATTTGTGTATATTTGCTATTAGAATTTATTTGAAAATGGTAACAACTTTGGCATGTTTCACAAATATTAAAAATAAAAATATTCCTCCCTAAATTACTGATCATTAAAAAAGTCAATACATAATACACAATCAATTTGTAAGATTCTGTTATTGTAGTCTTAATAAAAGTAATTTTAGTCTTCCTGTTGAAATGATTTTACAGTTAGATTTATCTAGTAGAGCTCATATGTATTGATATGCTCTAAAGTACCATCACGCATCGAATTATATTTTTCAGGAAAGTAATATGAGTCACGGTATCTAATAAAGGTAAAGTAGTATCAGATTTTAAAAAATCTGCTTGCTTGGATCAGTGTGAGAGAAAAAATGCTAGACTAAAAAGTTTGGTTGATATGAAAGGAGAAAAGTTGAGTATGAAAGGAAATGGGCATTGAGATTGAGGAAAGTGAGCAAACTCACCCAAGGAGATAAAAAGAAAAAAGGGGTTAACCACTGCATGGAGATTATAAAATAGTATCAGGTGAGCCCGATAGCATTGACAAAATATGTCCATAAGACTAAAACCAAAATGATAAGGATCTGGAATTCAAAAAGCTATAAGGAATGATTTGAAGTGGCTGTGTTTAGCCTGGCAAAGAATATGTAAAGACATGAAAGCTATCTTCAAACATGTAAAGAATTGTGATATAGAAATGTTCAAGTTTGTTCCAGAAGATAGGAGAAGAAAGCATGTTCAAACTGCAAAGAAGTAGATTTTAGCTTAATATCGGGGGAAAAATTCCTAATAATAAGAGTTGTTAGGCAATGGAGCAGATTGCCATGAGAAGTGGTGGTCTGTTTAGTGAAGGAAGTATTATTAAAAAGAGGCTGAATGCCATATGCCAGAGAGGCAATATTAAGGGTTGCCTAACTGGACAGGGTATTACCAGATTATCCTTCTAAACCTAACATTCTGTGATACTAGGGAATACTGAAATTTCAATTTTCTAGGAAATATTTAAAATTCATTCAATCATTTAAATAGAATTCTTTATTGGCCAAGTGTGATTTGGACACACAAGGAATTTGTCTTGGTGCAAATGCTCTCAATGTACATAAAAGTAAAGATACATTCATCAAGAATCAAGAATCATAAGGTACAACACTTAATAATAGTCATAGAGTACAATAAGCAATCAAATCATACTAGGAAACAGTCAATATAAATCGTAAAGATACAAGCAACAAAGTTACAGCCATACAGTCACAAGTGGGAAGGGATGGGTGATAAGGAGTGATGAGAAGATTAAATTATATTTTGAGTCAATAAATCAAAATTTGATTAGCTAAAATTAAAATTAAATAAAATAACTTAGATTTGTTGTTTTAGGATGTGTTTAATTATTGGGCATAAACTTTCATTAGTTTTATATTCCTTGTCTTTTGTGTTAGATGGCAAGCAGTAATTATATTTGAGGTGTTTAGTGTATTTTCAGCAAGTATAGCAATTAAGGTTAGGTATAAATACATATTTTAGTTTGTTTAGATGTTCAGGCATTATGTAAAATGCAGTAATCAGTATACTTGTTCAATACCTTAAAAGAAACTTTTTAACAGTGTAATCAGCACACAAAATAAATTTAGCTACTGTATATCATTTTAGGATTAGTGAAAACAAGGATAAGCAATTTTGTATCTCATCCATTCATTAACGTACATATGAGATGTGAAGTTATATTATTTCAATTTGCCACAGAGTTTTGTATGTCATTAGATGTATCTCTCGGTTATTGTAGAGTAGTTTGCTTATATTTTGATAGTTGTGACCCAAAGATTATTAAAAAATCTGAGGTTGAATTTAAGATTTAGTCATTAGATTTTTATTTGGTGATTTTTTTTATTAAAGTGCAAATATCTATAACAAGGTCTTTGAACTTTTTCAGGCAGCAGTAATTGTATGTTTAAAACTTCCCAGAATCCTTGATCAAGGGGCAAAACTCTAGAGATAAAAAGTTGGCTGCATTTGAATGACTTTTTTTTGCCCTTAGTCTTTCTAGAAACTCCATCAAGTTATAAAACATTTATTTTCTAGGATTTAAATATTCTAAGCAGCTTATTCATATAAAATGAATAACATAAAATCATTGCCTCCTGAACACAGTGGTATGATGAGAAAGCATCCCGTAATGCTCCCACAGAAAATTTCAGTTTGTGGATTTCCGTATATCTGTGTGTTTTTGTGTGTGTTCATGTGGTATATCTGATTTTCATCATATCGGGTATAATATTTCTTTTAAAAGGATGGAAGAATTCTATTTCTCCATACATCTGTTCAAAACTTGGTATATTATGAGATGGCTACTTATGAAGATCCTGTAAGTACATCTTTCCTAATATTTCTTTTAATTTAGTGCCAAATATATGCACAAGGATATATTCACTTCCTTGTTTCAAAATTAGTCACTAATCAGTTTCTTGTTTCAAAATTCAGTATATTGCCACTTAGAATTATAAATTTACAAGGTCATGATTTTCAAGTAAGGTTTGGTTGTGTGAAATGGATATCACCAGGATTTACTACACTGGACAGATCTTCATTTTAGAATGTTAAAAGCTGTCAGGAAAATTTCAGTACAGTTACACAAAAATTACCATTTCAGTTATCAAAAGCTGCTGCAAGAATAATCCTACATGTTATAGTATCTTGATTTGCTGTGCCCTTGTGTAATAAAGGTTGAGACACAGTTGTTTGATCTATGCACAGAAGGTTGCATATACTGTATATATACAGAGATCTGTATTGCACCCAAAGGATTCCTTTGGTTACTTCAAAGGGGATTTTTTTCAACTGAAAAATTTCAATATCCATTAACACTTGGTTTACCAACTCCTAAAATGTTATGAATTAAACATCAAATTTCGCATGGTTTTTCCCATGACTGGTATTTCTGGAATTCAGGGGGAAAAATGGGTCGAAGTTACTGAAATGCCTAGAAATGGAAGTAAAAGTGTGTCTGATTCACTGAATTTAAATGCCAAGAAAAGCATAAAATCAATAACATACCCGAGATCCTATCAGACATTTATTTGTTTCTATAAAAGGAATATTTATTTACAGGGTTTATATAGCCACTATCTCTTACAGTAAAATTTTGTGAATTTGACCATTCTGAGTCAGCCCATGTGGTTTTAATAACAACAATTTATAAAAATTAACAATCACATTTATGAGTTTTAAACTTGTTTTGTAAGAATTTGATATTATTAAGTTTGTATTACAAAACACATTCCTTAAAGATTAGTGTTTTGCTCCCAAAAACTATATAGAAATATTAACCTTTTTAATCCAATAACTTGCTTTTATTTTTAATTTATATAGTCACTTTGAATTTGTTTTTATTCAATAGGTCATCCATTTGCAACATGATATAATCCATCACCAGCTGGTAATCATGTGCCAGAAACCAAAATACAAATTGATTCACTACAGGAGTCTACCTGCTCTGGAACTGGTCTTTCAAGTTTATTTGCCAAACGATGCGACTGTTTTCACAAGACTTGTGAGTAATAGGAATAGTTATATAATATTGTGAGTATAGAATTGAATGGCATATCATTGAAAGAACTATACATATTTATTCATTATAACTGTTTGTTTCTTTATGATTCCTCTAATCACATTGTATGGATTCTATATGTTGTTGTTTGATATATCTGGCTATATCTCTGCAGCTAGTCATATAAAAGAAAAAGACTCCAATTGTGGAGGCATATATGAATATTTTTTTTAAATATTTGTACTGAATTTATTATTCCAAGACCCTTGAATGACGAGCACTTTTATTACACACAAAGTAAAAAAATTGTGAAAAAATAGTATGAAGTAGATGTAACCAGCTGTCTTTCACTTTCACTATAGATGGAGATTTTTCCTAAAGTAATATAATTCTTGCCAAATTGTCTTTTAGAAATTCCCATATGACATATTTTTTTATCATGATTTTGGACTACTGTTACTGAACTGCCTTTACCTTTAATAAAATAATGCTGTTAATAGTAACGTGTGGAACAATACCAGTAAATATATGGGAAATTGTCTGAAAAACATTTTTACTAATTTTATATGCTTAATGCTTCAGTTTCATGTACGTAGTTGTTTTGATTCCTCAGTGTCAGGAAAAGGAAAACTAGGAATAGAGGCTGTTTATCTGAAAACAGACCTGTTTTTATTAGGTGAAAAAGACATGATTTGAGACCTATGATAATTCTGAAACACACACACACACACCCGCTTTTTTTTTTTAACTAAACTAAAAACAAAGTAGGCAACATTTATATTCAGCAAACTAAAATAATTTGCATATTTCAGGACAGATCACTTTTTATTGGCCTGAAATCTGGCATCGTGGATATTTTAAGTATTCTAGAGGAAAGCAATGAAGTGGCATTTCCTGAAAAAGGTATGAAATTCTTTGTTAATTATTTAATGGACAAATAAATTAGAAGAATTAAAACATAGTCCTCTGTATTAGACATTTTTCTAGCATGCACCACAAACACAGGTTTCCCACTCCCCTGGATATCTGATTCTATGGCTGGGCTCAAAACAAAGAAAGTAAGAAAAGAAGGGATAGTTTATGACAACAGTTAGTGTTCACATAAGTTCAGCTAAGAACAGAGGATACCACATTATGGTTGTCATGCTGTGTAAATCCATCTGATTGCAAATAGGTGGAGCTGATTGCTCCACTTATTTGCAGCAGATGCACATTTTAATTCACTTACGTTGTCATAGTTACAATCTAGTTTCTGTTCCTAGAGTTCTATCTGTAAATCAGATACTTATCATTTAGTTGGGCATCATTTCCAGAAAAGGCTTATTAAATCACAAGGCTCTTCAAATAGATAAAATGACTATTAAGTACGTACATGGATGCAATTTCTATAGTCAAATCCTCTGGGCCTACTAATTATTCTAGTTTTCTTTCATTTTTCTTTTCGTTTTGTCTAGTTGTCATATCATTGTTATAACAGAAATATTCATTTGACCCTTAGTTGATAACTGCTGTTATAGATCATAAGTATGTTAGATGTATTTATAGTTAGAATGCAGTACTGCAGGCTACTTCTACTGCTTGCAAGCTGCCTGCAGTTCAGCAGTTTGAATCTCACTAGGCTCAAGATTGACTCAGCCTTCCATCCTTCTGAGATTGGTAAATGAGGAACCAGACTGTTGGGGGCAATATGCTGACTCTATAAATTGCTAGAGAGGGCTGTAAAGCACTGTGAAGTGGTATATAAGTCTAAATGCTTTTGCTGTTGCTATATGATCCAAAAAAATAGTCTCTTTTTTAAAATATTACTAGGAAGGGATGGGCTAAGCTAATGGTGAGGGTGAGGCCGCTGAGTAATTTGTTCATAACTGACAAGAATTCTTCCCTGAATTCTCTTATTATGTAATGTTGCCTATTTAATTCCACCCAGAAGTATTCTTGTTAGGAATTCTGTAACACTTTTCAAAAATTTTGCACAGCTTAACTTTTGCCGTTCAGATGCTTTCAAATCTTCATGACTTGTTCGACATCAATGTTGCCAGACTATCAGTAACAGCAATTACAATTCCATTTAATTAATGTTTATTTTTCTTTATTTATTAAACCACTTTGAATAAACAAAAACAAAGAGGGAGATCCCAGTAGTTTATAAAGACATTATGTATCTCAATTATTTCATTTGTAGCAACACATATTAAATATTTATTTTAAAATACAAAAGAACTTCTCTCCTGAGCAGTGTTTATGTATGTATTTGGGCCCAAACCAAACATGACAGAGACAAACTTTCCAATGCCTTGGTCTAACAGCTCTTTAAAAAGGAATCTAGGTTTAAGTAAAATAAACACCCTAAGTGAAGACTTGCAATTTCTGCCTGGAAATTTTCTTCTTTTCTTCAGTATTTCTGTTATATTATTATTCTGTAGCCAATTTCTGAACTCAGAAATGAAGAGAGAGGGAGGGAGGGAGGGAGGGAGAGAGAGAGAGAGAGAGAGAGAGAGAAAACCCACCAGGATGTAATTAGCTAATGTTCTTTAGCTTTTAAAATGGGCACCTAAAATACCTTACAAGCTCTTATTATTGTGAATCAGTTCTCATGAGAAACAGACCACTTAGAAATAATTTTGAAGATCAATATTTAATTGGAACAAAAACTTCTCTTGCTGAGACTGATATGTAGACAATTAGGAAAGGGCACTGGAACAATTCTGAAATATCTGTAATGGAGGAATGGCTGGTCAAGATGAGAGAATAAAACAGAAATGGCAAAATTGATTTGTGTGATTGGGAAACAACAATAACCTCATTTATTAGTGACTGGAAACCCCTTATGGACTCATGCTGAAGAAAGAAAAAAGTGAATGGATGGGTTTGACAACTAAGAAAAGCTAGATTATGGGAAGAAAGAATTATATGTAATCTTCAAGCAACAGTTACCTTGAGATGGGTGGCATACATATTTGATAAATAAATAAGGAGCAAAATGTAAATACATTGTTAAAAAGGTAGGAAGCTGTGTCTTTATTGTATTTTTTTTTTCTTATCCATTATTTTTCTTTATTTCTTCTCTAACGTTTGTAATGTTTTTACCTTATTAAATTTTTATTTAATAAAAATTATAAAAGAAATGGTAAGATCACCAACAAAGCGATCACTTGCTTTTCTATGTTTCCAGGAAGGCCTTTACTATATAAAAGTTTAACAAACTTATTTCCTAACCTCTGCCATAATACGTTTCACTAATCCTATGGCATATTACAGTATGTGTGTGTGATATATTTCTGAACAGCCCTGTGAACAATTCTATTCTGCTTTGTTGCTTGAGCTTACAACAAAATTGTTAGCTGTTGCTGCCAGTTGCTCTTGTGAACTGCAAAACTGGCTTTGCATGATCTCTCAGTCTATGCTGAGGGAGGGAGGGAGGAACTCTGGCTTGCTGTAGGCGTTCAATATCTCGGCTAGGCTGGTGAAGCTGCTGAGCATTGCTGCCCTTTCAGCTTGTCTGCTATTGGTTTGTTGAAATTCAAGCCTGCTCCTTATTTACTATCAATCATCTGCTAAGTTGGTTTATGCAAATTCTAATTCTCTGCCATCTAACAAAACATAAATATGAGAGAGAGAGAGAGAGAAGAATTTTTCTTTAATAATTAGAAATCAGGTGTGTTGCCTTAAAGTCAGTGGAGAAAGCAAAATGAAGGAAGAGCCTCTGCTGGCCCTTTTTTTAAAAAAAATAAATAAATATTAGATTTTGGAATGTATTTCTGGTTACTTATTCTGTTAAAGATAAGAGTAATTGCACTGCATATGGAAATGAGGTACAATAAAGGGTTGATGGATAGTTCAGTGTTACTTTCTGTTAATTGACTCATCTCTCTCTATTTAGTCATCCCTGTACACTGTCAATGCTTTCAAGGAAGTCATAGGCAGCTGTAATTTATTGTCTCATTTAACTTTCCAATAAGTTGTAATTGAAACAAGTGATATGCTTAAGAAGGCAGTTAAGTCCATTTCCAATTTAATTTAATGCATGATTAGCATATGTACTATTTATGAGTAATGTACTACTACTAACGTTATGACTGTTAAATTCATATCTTATTGCATGTTAAAAGGCTTCTGACAGGGTAAAATATTAGCCAACTGTACCTGCCAGGTACACCTTTCAAAAGCTACCACTACCAGCAGGTCTACGGCTTTTATTCTATGCAGAACATAATTGATATATGGACAGTACCTGAAAAGAAAAGGTGTTTGATACCTTGCATGCAATGGATGCTGTGTTAAGATCAGTCTTTGCACAAGAATATGTTGTCTTTGGCCAGCATACTGTGTAGCAAATTAAAAATCTAATGATAACAAATGTTATAATTATTAAATATTGCCACTGAGTTTTATCATTCATATATTCATTTCTTAATGCAAAATATCTTTTTTAAAAACCCAATCTTCCTCAGCTATCACTTGGTCCAAAGTCAATATCTCTGCTGCCATCCAGTATTGCCACATGAGCATTTTCCTCTCATATTTAAAATTGGGCTTCTCCAGAAAATTGATTTGGTATGAGAAAAAAGCTTTCTTTATTAGATGGTACATAACTTTCTAACTGACGTAATTGTTTCCAGAGACACTAGAGTTTTAATATACTTAGATCCTCTCCATCCAATCAAAGGCGATCTATATGTACATTTCAAAGTTGCCCCAACTTAGAAAATTAGCACCAATTGTTAATGGTTTTCAGCATTTAATGCTTGACAATCTGTAAGCATGATGATATAGCTCCAGATTTGAAAAACTGGGACCTCCTCATCAATTGGTAATTGCATTTTCTGTAAAGATATTCTCACAATAGAATAAAGCCACATAAATCATTTTTTGAAAATATTTTCTAGATATTTAAACTGGATTGCCCTTCAGAATATACATTAATTTGGGAATTTCATTTTGAGAATTTTCTCTTTTCCTCAAAGGGTTAAGTTTTAATGACAATAGAAATCACTCCATGTATTTTCTTTCTATGTTATTAACTGGACTATATCCTTTAGTATACACTTATAGTACCTAAATATTTCATGGATTTGGAACAAAATTCATATTCCTTAATAGAAGGTAATTGATTTTTCATCTATTGAATCAATTTTGGTTTGCACCGGTTAATACAATATTTAATATTTAAATTGTATAGATTTTATCTTTTTCACCTGTAATAATTGGAATCATTATGCTTTCTTTTTTTGTTGTTTTAAGTGATTAGCAAAGATCTTGCCAGGTCTTTCTCCATTTTCTCATGATCTCCCTCATAAACATGTTAACATAAATTCTTTCTGTCTGCTGTAATAGCATTTAGACGTATATACCATTTTACAGTGCTTTACAACCTTCTCTAAGCAGTTTACAAAGTCAGCCTATTGCCCTCAACAATCTGGGTCCTCATTTTACCCACCTTGGAAGGATGGAAGTCTCAGCCAACCTTGAGCCTGGTGAGATTTGAACTGCCAAATTACGGGCAGCTGGCAGTCAACAGAAGTAGCCTACAGTACTGCGCCACAGAGGCTCATAGTAGTTAATTCATATATCTTTTTCTATATTTCTCTGCAAGCAGTTGTAGATGGGCATCTACCATTTGTGCCTATAATGTTTTGATTCATCTTTCAAATTATTTTTATTTTTAATCTTATTTTTGATGCACAAAGAATAATTCTACCTTGAAAATATGCTTTATATGATTCTTATTTTAAAAAAATGAATTCAAATCAAAAACGTCATCATTCAAGTGGGAAACATTAAAACAATATTTTCTCTTTTTTGTCAAGTTTTTTTATTGTAATCTACATATGCACATCAATACATAAACAGTGTGGCACCAACGCATCATACAGACAAAGATAATAATCATTTCTCTTAATACACATATTTGCATTAAATTATAATCCTTCATTGTTTAATTATTCAATATTTTTTCTAGTGCCAATTACTGTATTATTTAGACATACCTAGTTCATTATTCATTTCTTCTTTTATTTTTTATTTTTTAAATAAAAATTCTCTTTTGGCAAGCAGTGTGGTTCCAGGTTTCACATATCAACACAAACATGACCATAGTTACCTATGCATCTTACTTATTCAGTTTCATATCACAATACTTACTAATATTAAATTCATTAGCCTTATTTTATCCAATCTCAGTTCATATCTTATTTCATTTTTTTAGGATATTCTCATATCTTGTTTTACCATATTATCTAAAATTCTTATCTTATTTCTATATTCATATTGCCCTTATCTGTCACATTTGTAATTTTATCAATCCTTATTCTATTAATTCTAAGAATTGTCCCCTTTAGTTGTTTGTTCGAGCTTACCACCTTCATTCTACTATAATAACAATATTTCCCTATCTACTACATATCAGATATATACATCTTTTAAATCAGATTCTGCATAGTATTTTCTCAATCACCTTATAAATCATCTCTACACTGCAAAAATATTAATCTAGTCAATTAATTATAGAAAGTGATATTAATCTTTCAATAATGATTCTCATATTTTTCTACATCACTGATCATCAATTGAAATTCTTATTATAAATTCTCATTTCCATATTTATTTCATTAAATTCCATATCTAATATAGCGATAATCCTTTAATAAAAAAGAAAAAAGTGAAAAAGAAAAAACAATATCAGTTCCAGTCTTAACTATTTTCAATACTTATTCTTACATATCACAACCTATTACCTTGTGGAATATCTTTTCCTCTCCGTTTTTACCCATTATCTCTCACTCTCCTAACAATGTAATTTCTTTTCATTCTTGTTTGCTTCCTGTTTCTCTTGATTTTCTGGTCCTGTCTCTTAATTCCCTTTTTTCCCATTATTATTTCTCTCCATTTCTCATTCCAGTTATTTATTTTATCCCCCTCTTGCTCTCAGTCTTTCTTTTGTATTTCCCTCCTCTGCTTTTTCCCTTTCCTTTGTTTCATTTTCTAAACCATTCCCCCTTTTATTGTCACTTCAAGCCACAAATTTTTAATTTTAATTCTTTTTCCCCCTTGCTTAAATGATTGTTACTCGGCTTGATCTTCAAAGCTGGTTTTCCCTTTATTTAACTCCTCCCCCTCTGGTTCCCTTTGTTCTTCTTCAAGTTGAATCACCATTTCTAATTTCTGTAATATATTGCTACACATTTCCAGACTCATTTTCATCATTTCCTTCATATCTTATAAATCCAATCTTATCTCAATAAGTAATTCGCCCATTGTGTCTGCTCCTTTTTTTTCTTCTCTTTCTTCCTTAGTAAATATATCCACTCCAAAACTCCAGTATATTGTTTCAACCAGTGTCTTTTATATTTATTTTCAACAATCAATGTTCATAAGTCTTTGTTTCCAGGTCTTCTGTAAGGTCCTTTTCCAACTGTTTCCCAAAATCACCGGGTGGTTCCAAGGTAATATTTTCAAGTATCTTTCCCCTTGTAGTATTCTGGTATCACTTTTCAGGGTTTTTATTTTATTATGAAGAAGTTTCTCTTATTTTTTTTTAAATTCCAAAGTCCAATTAATTAGAAAGACCAAACACTTTTCAAAGAGTCATTGAAATTTTTCCTGTACTATCAGACGGCACTCTTGAATCTTTTTCCACAATCGACTCTTTAACTTTTTGCTTTCTTTTTTTATTATAAAACTTTTTAAGTTCACTAATTTCAATTATTAGCTATTATTCCTTTTCAACACATTCAATTCCAGCATTTACATGCCTATTTAGTGCCAAAAGTCCAATAATTATCCAATTTAATTTCCAAGTCTTTTGTGTTCAAATATTTTCCTCTGAATTTTTTCCTTTAAGATACTTCGTTGCAATAGTTCAAGCCAATTTTATAAGTTCCAATTTCCTTCTCACTCTCTCTGGTGGTCACCTGTACACACTTTCCTCCAAAATAGTTCTTTATTTCTTAATCCCAAGGTATCTTAAAGTCCATGTATTTCACCTGGTTCACACTCCGCTCACTACTTCACCATTCCAGCACAGCAATGCTGTTTCCAGTTTCCTGGATTGCTTCCTGTCTTCATGGTGGCTATTTTAGACCACCTCTGCAACTTTTCTTTGGAAAGGGTTTTTCTTGTCAGGGAGGGAAGTTGTGGCTCCCCTCTACCCTCCAAACAGTTCCCCCTTTCTTCACCACCCCTCCAGGGTGGTTCTGATCTCAATCAGGACCCTCCAACAAGTGAGCTCAGAGCAATATTGCGCACGATCACAGATTCCATGCTGATGACAAGCAACCAGATGTCCCCAAAACAATAATTTCTTGATACCTTAGTGGGTTTCTGAAATGCTCATTTCATAGCAATTGTACTATTTGGTGTGATAAGGTCAATGTTATTAAAAAGTAAAGGTAAAGGTTCCCCTCGCACATACGTACTAGTTGTTTCCTGCTCAAACCTAATAAAATTCTGGTGGACACTTAAATAAAATAAAATACAGTTGAATGCCAGGAGTCTATTAAATTCAGTTCTTTCATATACATCTTAATCTTTATAAATCTTACTAATGTATTTTTTCAAGTTGGTGTCCAATATTTCATTGGAATTTAGATTTGGTCCATAAACATTAACTATAACTACTGCAATCTCTGTTATTTTAGTCCATAAAATTAAATAATGTCCATTTATGTCAGTAATAACTTCTGTATCAATAGAGAATCAAGTCCATTAAATATTATCAGAGATAATATGTTTATTTTAATCTTGATCAAATAAACTAATTTTATATTCTTTCCTTCTATTTTTAACATTTTTTAAAATTCCTTCAAATATTGTCCTAAAACTGGATTGCTTTTCAGTTCTTCTTTATCTCATAAAATTCTTCAAAACTTTAACAAGTTTCTTTTGTAAATGCAGTATAGGAAAGTTATCTAGGTCGTTTTTTTGTTATTTTAATTATTAAGACATCAGCAGTATAGCATCTTTTTCCATATCATTCTTGCAATCTGTTATTTTTAAATGCACTTTCAAATAAGTCTCAGTCTTGTTTGGAAAATGTTTTTCTGCTTCCATAATATACGTGATAAAAGATAAGACAGTCTATCTATAATGGCAATTACGGTATAATTTTAAAATTAATCAAAATGTCCATTGTTTAATTATTTTGCTGTGTACCAGTAAGTCAAATGTTAGTGTTATTCTTCTTTAATTGTAATTTTAAGTTCCTTCTGATCCCTCTAATGTCCAACTTTGATAATCCCATCCTGTCATTTTTTTAAAGAATTCAAAAGTACATCAAGGATGGAAGGATGTTTAATTTCAAAAACTTATTTCAAATCCATCTGGACCCTTAGTCCATTTGTAACTTTCCAAAATTCCATGCTGTAATCACCCTTTTGCTATTTATTTCCAAAAATAATTTTTAAAAATCCTTAAACTTGTATTTAAAACTCTTTTTGCTAAGGTTTGAAGAAAACTATTAACTGAAAAATAGTTAAGAAGCAATTTCTGAAAGTGATTAAGATGAGACTGGGCAAATCTTGACCACTGAATTACATTTGAGAATCTTATGATTTCTCCTTTTCCTGGCAGACGTCACTGACTAGAATTCATCATCATGTGGATGCCGATCTTCACTACAATGCCATCCCTGTTCCTTCAGGGACACCTAATTTGCTATGAATTTTCAGACATTTTTATCTATAATATTTACACCATGTCTTGAAATAAAGTTTATTGGACAATTACGCTCAGATAACAAACCACATGCATCTTTAGAGTTTGGGGAACAAATGACAACTGAGGCTAAGACTGTTGGGAGCATATGCTGATTATAATAAGCAGAAACAGGGCTACATCAACAATTTTCCTGACCTAATTTAGGACAAACCCTAGCTCAAATAATTTTAAAATATTATCTTATATACTGGGAATAATGCTTACACATTGAAATACTCATTGGGGACTATTTTGACACTGAAAGAGGCCTTACTAGGACTTATATACGGCAAATTAAAATGCTTGGAAGAAAAAAACATTTTGTCTTACAGTATGTTAAAGAGTAAGTGTGAATTTATTCCCTCTGTAAATTTTAGTCATACTATGGTTTGTGGTATTACTGTCCAAAACTAGCCATACAGCAATTAACAAATCTATAGAAGCAGAGAGAAAATTCCTGTAGAATAGATAGTAATAAAATAGTTTAAAAATAAAAGGTGTATTCAAACTGTGGAATTATGTAGCATAATTCAGAACTGATGTTTGTGTTCTGTCTTCAAGAGAAAATAGAAGAAAAAAATCTTCCAGCAACCTACCACGAGGGTCCTGTGATATCAGTGGATTCCTGCAAGACTCTTTCTGTCTTTCTCAGCTGTGGGTAGGTAAATAAATCACTGTTGCCCTTTTATAAAACAAGGTCAAAAAGTGATGAAATAGTGCAATGATGATTGCAGACAAACCAGTGCCCCTTTAAAAAGAAAAGAAAAGAAAGATTGGTACTCTGAAAAATAATGCTTGGTAGGGTATTTGTTGGCTATTCCTTAATTTTCCATTTGGGTTTTTGATTAGGAGGGCTGCCACAACTATTTCTAAAACATTCTTACTGCTATCCAGCAGGGTGGAATTGTCTCCTTCTTTACAAACTAACACACTCAACTTTATAGGATGCTTTCGTTGCTTTAGGATGCAATACATCCAGTCAAGGAAGTTTCAGGTCATGCAGAATAAAGAGGGATTACCTGATCAGATATAATCACCCTGTCTTCACAATTTCCTGTTGGAGGTTTGAACTAAAAAAAAATGAATAGCTCTGATTTTTTTATTAGTATTTATTAGTATTTTTATTAGTATTTTATATTTTTCACTGAGCAGCTAGTTTTTTTCCTTTTTTAAATTTTTTTGAATAAAATCAAAGAAACCCTTTTTATTATTCTTGGCATTCTCTGCTAACCACATTTCATTCTGAGCTTTTGATAGAAAAGGGTTTTTCTATTAGAAAGATTTCTATTAGCTACATTGATAGAAGGAAGGATGGAAGGCTGAGTCAACCTTGAGGAGGTTAGCATCAAACTCTTGGCAGTGAATAGAGTTGGCCTGCAAAACTGCATTCTAACCACTGTGCTACCATCTTTTCCTATGAAATAAACTAGAATTATCTCATGTTACACTGAGGAATTTAGGCAGAGACTTCGATTCCTCAGTGAAAGACCATCTCCTTTCTCCCTTCCCTCTGTTTCTCCATCTACACTGCTTCTCTGTGGCCTGATCCTCTTTCCAGTTTTCGTTTTACTTTTAGACCTTCTCTAAGTTTTGTGTGTAAAGTAATGCTTTACCTGAAACTTCATTTTTTCCCCTCCTCATAGGAATTAGATGCAGTTGTATTTTTATTAATCTCTCCTTTAGGAATTCCCATCCAGCTGAGAATCTTTTCTGATGAGTTACTTTTGCTAAGGATTTTACCACTGACATAAGTACTACTGGTTTAAAATATATTGTTTTGAAATCTGGGATACATATTTGATGAAGTTGTCAATAGACAATTAAGGAATTTCCTAAAAGGACTATGCTTGGATTTTTTTCCCAGCAAGTGTTAAAATAATTAAAGTACCATTTCATTATAATTCTGTTAAAATAAAAAATGCAACTGATGTGTATTTTGAAGAGGAAACATTTTTCTTTATTCATCTAAGGCAGGGGTTCCCAACCTGGGGTGCTTGCACCCCCTGGGGGTGCGAAACGATATTCCAGGGGGTGCGAGAAAAGTCCAGGTAAATAATAGGATATTGGCTATAGGTTGGCATTTTTATTTATTATTTATTTCAGGGGGTGCGAGGTTCGAGTGAAATTTCTTTAGGGGTGCGGGGCGAAAAAAGGTTGGGAACCACTGATCTAAGGTATTGATGAATGAACTATTAGATACAGTTTTGAGTCGAAATTTGATTACAAGCTAAATTGAAACAAAAATTTCTATACAATTTGCTTTCTATGTATTTTAGTGGTATGTGAATTTTGAACTTAAGCATTTGCCTAAAAGTAAATTCTGTATTATGAGTATTTCTTTTATTTTCTAGGTCAGATGCTGCAATAAAACTATGGAATATTTACAAAGACCTAATAGCTGAGATCAGACTTGATAATACTTTAAGCACAGCCTGCTTCCTCAATAATTCTGGTGATATTTTACTGGCTTTCAAAAATGATATTTATATCTTATATCACAGTAAAATGTTGCACTTTTTGAGAACTAGTATTCAAACTGCGAAAGTTATAGAAACAGGTAATCTTAATTATGATATTATCTGAGTAGTGTGTTTTTTATATGTCTACCCCAACCCTTTTAATTGAGATGCGTACAATGCTACATTTAATGGAAATTAAGACCTTCAATACTGCAGCTGTTTTGTGTCCAGTAAGTTGTTCTATGTGTTAATAGGGAATTCATTGTGTGCATGTGGATTCTTAGATAGCCAAAGCATTTGCACAAAAAAATGGAGGTATCAACACATTTTGGGAAATTTACAGAAATATGAACTAAAAATAATTACATGGACGGGAAATAAAAAAACAGATGAATAACATTTGTGCATACCTACTGAACATAGAAATTATTATATATAGCCTATTTCCAAAGACACCTCCTCACTCCACTGGGACACATAGCCATAAGATTGCAAGCATTGAAACTATACATACCTTGAGGGGAACTGGAGGAGCTATTTCAGAGGGCAAAACCTCAACAGGGAAGTCACACTTCCTGGGTCTACAAGATGACATTTAATTGAAGGGACCTGGACATACCTATTCTCCCTGATTGTACTGGATGGGAAGAAACAAGTGAAGATAGGTAACCAGGTCCCAGGCCATGAAGGGCTTTACAGGTTTTGACCTGCATCTTGAAGCCAACTGATAACCAATGCCATTTGCAAAGCAATGTTGAGACAGGGGCATAATGAAAAACACCCATTACTGTCCACACTGGTGCATTTTGAACCAGCTGTTGCTTTGAGATGGTCCTCAAGGATAGCCCCATGTAGAATGTGTTGCAATTGTGAAGGGGCAAGGACATGAATGATCTTTTTGAAGTCTCTTCAAAGTCTCTTCAAGCAGTACCTGCAAGTTTAGAGGACCCTAAATTACTTGCCTGCATTATTAATGCCATTTGTTGAATGCATGCTAGTTCGCCAAAGCAAGTTATTTGCTGTGTAAATCCCAGTTGGCAAAATTCGGGATTACCCAAACTCACAAACTAGTTCATTCTTTATAAGAAGTGTTTCCAAGTGGTTCATGCTTAATGCCATTCATCAAAAATATAATTTTGCCATTCCACTTTTTTTCTTAGGAAGGGATGCAATAACTATTATTATGAGAAATAATAGTTACTTTCATAAGTAAGGTTCATGAGACATTTGCATATCTTTATAATATGAGCTGTGAATAGTGAAATTATTTGAAAAAGTAACTCCTGATCATGAGCATCTGCAGCAAACCAAGTGTGCATCAAAATAATGGCATGCACATGATAATGTCATGAGGCAAACCCCATTTGTAGACTGTTGTATCCCTGTATCATTGCAAGTCCTAAGTTGTGGTGTTTGTATCATGACGTCTATTTTGTTACCTTCTGATACCCATGCTTCTGATCAAATGCAACAAAGGAAGGAGAAAGTGGTTCGTATTACTGAATTTGAGAAACTGAACTTATTTAAGGCTGATCCAAATTTTATTACATGTAACCTATGTCTCCAAGATCTCAAAATGACATCAGGTTTGGCAGGATAAGGATTCAAGAAAAGCAAATTGTGTTCGCTATCCATTTATATCAGTATAAATAGAATATCAGTAATGAGTAGAAGAAAAACATGATATTCTGAAGGGAGAAAAGTTCCCTGATGATGGGCTTCAGCAGGAACCCGAAATGTTGGAAGAATAAACCTTTGGTCCTGGTGACCAAGTCAGATTGGATCCTGCAACATTACCCTGGGACATGTTTATTCACAAGAAAAGCAAATTAAGTTTCCTTGTTGTTTAATTGTAAATTAAAATGAATGAATGAATGAATTCTTTATTGACCAAGTTTGATTAGACACACAAGGAAATTCTCTTGGTGCATATACTCTCAGTGTACATAAAAAGAAAAGATACATTCATCAAGAATCATAAGGTACTTAATGATAGTCATAAGGATACAATAAGCAATCAATCATACTAGGAAACAGTCAATATAAATCATAAGTATACAAGCAAGAAAGTTACAGTCATACAGTCACAAGTGGGAGGAGATGGGTGATAGGAACAATGAGAATATTAATAGTAATAGTAATGCAGACTTAGTAAATAGTTGGATAGTGTTGATGGAATTATTTGTTTAGCAGAGCAATGGCATTCGGGAAAAACTGTTCTTGTGTCTAGTTCTGGTGTGCAGTGCTCTAAAAAATGTGGGTTTTTTTAAATCAAAAGAATTTAACTATCATGTAGTGTTACAATATTAGTATCTCCATTGTGATCTCTTTTCTAGAATCCTATATTTTTGAAAGCCAGCTTTTAGATTATCATTACAAAACGGATGCCCCTAAATCAATTGAGATGGCTTCATATCTGGTATGTACTCTATTGATATTACTTTAATCAGCTGAAGACCTGAAACCACACTGAGTATTAAAGACATAGACCACTAAACTAAACAGCATTTAATATTAGATGCAGAGTCTCCCACCCTCTGTTAGATGTACTCTAGCATAATAACACCAAGGGGAAATTCTAGTTGTGGGTTTTTTTTAGAATGTAAGTTTAGAATATGGTATGAACAAATATATTTTTCTGTATCGTGTATGAGCATGTTATTACATGATATTTTCTATTTTTTTAAATATTAAGAATTCAGTAGATGCTTAGCTTTGATTTCTCATTGGGATCATATTTCGCTTTACATACAGTGCAAACCACTTAATTCACCAAGATGCCAGTTCTTTACTCACCTTAGGATAAGTCTCATTTCATTAAATAAGAGGTAAAATATAAAAGACAGAATTATAAATTTTAAATATAAAACTTTCTAACACAGATATCAAGTGGCTAAAATGTCATGTATTATAATATTAAAAGTTATAGTGCCATAATATAATATAGTGCCAACATTTACTGTTTTTATTTGCTTTTTTTTTGCTTAGGTGCCTTATAAGGGATATTCCTTCACTGAAGATTTTACATCAGAATTGCAGGTTTTGCCAGAGAAGAAAGGAAAGGTAAGAATACAAAAGGCCTGCAATATAAAGAAAAATGTACTTTTTTTCAGTCTCTACCTAGGTCTACAATATAAATAAAAATATACTTCCATCTTATCTCTATAAGATTTGGCTAGTGTGATTTAATGAATAAAACTGTGGATGAATTAATTAATGATGGTCTCAAAGCAATCAAGTTTGATACCAGCAGAATAAACTTCTTAAGAGTATAATGTAATTATAAAGGAAACAAAATTCTTTCCTATTTTACTAGCTAATTCTTATTTTATTGAAGATAGAACGTAGTTTCGGGGAGGGGGTCTTCTAAGTAATATTTGTCTTCTTATTTGACTTCTTGGGTGGCTTTTGTTTAGTCTACTTCAGTGAAGTTGTTCTGAAAATAAATAAATCTATAAATGGAGTTCAGAAGGTTTACTTGAAGGAAGGGTGGAATACAAAGTAATATCAGAGCTGTTAAATGTTGAATTGTTAATCAGTGTAATGCAATTTTAATAAAGGTCACAGTTCTTTGCTTTTGAAGCTGTCATGATTATGTTGTGATGAATATAGTAGGAAAAGGAAAAAGAAAATACTTAAGATAGCCTACTGTTCTAGTAACAATTGCTAATTTATTATTTAATGCCAGCTGGCTGAAGAATTCTGGGAGTTGAAGTCCACAAGTCTTAAAGTGGGCCTAGTTTGGGGACCCCAATTTAGTGAGTGAAATCATAGTTTCTGTAGTATTTAAAGGGTCCTACAAATAGTGTAAGATATATCCAAATTTGTTTGTATATAATTAATAAGCAATTAATAAAAGAAGTTTTATTTTTTATAGCAAGTTACAATCCCAATTACATCTTTTTTTCCATCCCTTAGGCATTCTGGAAGATACCGGTAGCTCCCTCTATGATATACTTGTCTCCTTGTACCTCAGAGGTATCTTTAAAAATGTTTGATTTCCTTCTCCAAGCTGGAACTCATGACTTAGAAGAACAAGATAAAGCTAAAAGTAATGTTTTTGAGAATTAATACATTTCTCACATGAGTATAGTACCCATTATTTGAAAGGCATACATTTTCTGTCTTATTCTATCGCAGACCAATGAGCATACTTTTTCTAGCTTAACAATATCTTCATTTAGTTTGACTGGTGCGCACTAAAAGCTGAATAATGGAGGAAAACTAGGAATTATTATTATAATCATAATTATATTATGATTAAATGATTGCCCATGTAATGCCCTGATGAAACAAAAAAGGAAAAATCAATTGTACATTTCATCTTGATTATATATGCTTTGTTTTCTTAATCTCATTTATTTGTCCTTTCTATTCCTCCTTTTTCTGCAGTTTGTTTCCACTTTATAATCTCTTCTCAGTACTATATAGGTGGAAAGATGTGCCCAGCAGTTTATCTACTTATCACTGAACTGTGGTTCCCAATTCATCGATTCTGGGTTGTAACAAAGTATTGTGGTAGATCTAACAAAAAATATTATTCCTAATTGTAAGAGGATATCTTGCTTGCTTTGGAAATTAAACAGGACTAGCAAAAGCCAAAGATTTCCAAATATTAAGCAGAACCTCCAAATTTTGTCAAATAAATGGTTGAAACTGTAAAATTAGTACACCAAATTAGAAACTGAACAATATTTATATGTGTCATATGTTTCATCTAGTGCAGAGGGAAAACAAACGTCTAAGCTGGACTTGAAGCAGCTGCCATTTTAAGAAATAGAGGGCAGAAATACTACATATTACCTGCCTTTACATGAAACACTAGACTAGAGGAAGATAATTCAACACTATTTCAAATAAAGAAAGAGAGAATGGAATCCAACAAACGTTAATAATTTACTTTAGTTAAGGAACACTCAGTTTCAGTTTAAGCTAGTAAAGCTTGCTTTTTTCAGCTAAAGATTTCTGATTTAAATGATAGAGAATAAATGTGTAGTCTCAACAGATACGATAATTTGCTTTATTTCCTCAGTGTATGAAAGAATGATTGTGACCAAAGATATGAAATACATGCCTGAGCGCAAACCTGCAACACCAGCAAGGTTGGAAATTCCATTCTTTGGTGTTTCTCCATCTCCATCTTTAATTCAAGAGCCACTTGAGGCAACTAAACAGGAAGAAGAGCAGGTTTTTGTGATATTTTGTATAATTAATGTTAAAGTGTTACAGGAACAATTTTTTAAACAAGAAAGTTGCAGCTGAATATTTGTATACATTCTCTATTCCAGTTGCCATGTATGTTTTTTGTCTCTTTGTTTTAATATCCGCTCATGTTAAGTGCAATCAGAATCTCTTCTATTCTTCTGGATGGTTCACGTTACCTGTGCGGAAAATATGTTTTTCCCATCAAAAGACAGTGAAGCTTCATACCCATTATTCCAGCAGTGATTTTGCCAGGATCCTAGGACTATTATCACAACTTTTATTAGAAAAAGCAAATAGTATGCCCAAATAGCATATGATAACAATGATATCAGTGCCTTTTTCCTACCATGCTTTGCCCAAACTGGTATCCATTTGCTGCAGCATGACACCTGTCAGCAAAGAAGGGGACAGAATCCTAAGCAAGAAATTCTTTGCAAATTAGTATCATGAACTACAGCTATTTTCAGTTCTGAGTTTTCTTCCAGTGGGATTCTTTTCTTTTCCTTCTCTCACTCTCTCTTCAGTTTTCAGCCTATTTATCTCTTTGCTCCCTGAGTTTTTTTTCCTACATTTTCCTTTTCCATTGTTTCTTCTTTTTATCTTTTTTCCTAGTTCACTGTCCTGCTTTTTCTTCTAGTCCCCTTTCCATTTTCTTTTTAACATTTTCTTGTTCTAATTTTTGAGTTTATTTTATTGATTTGTTTCATTAAATTTATGTGTCACATCTCCCATACAAGGTGACTTATTTTCCACCATTTCAAAGCTTTGGAGTTCCATTTCCACTAAGGAGACAAATTGGGTTAATGCATTTATTAGTCTGGCAATTTTCTGGAGAGCAAAACATCTCCTTCTGGCTTTCCTTTTCTTTCTTATATACAGGTAGTCCTCAACTTACAACCACAATTGAGCCTAAAAGTTCTGTTGTTTTAAGTGAGACATTTGTTAAGTGAGTTTTGCCCCATTTTACGATTTTTCTTGCCTCAGTTGTTAAAGGGATTGCTACAGTTGATAAGTTAGTAACCTGGTTGTTAAGTGAATCTGGCTTCCCCATTGACTTTGCTTGTCCGAAGGTCGCATGACCTTGGAACACAGCAATGCTCCTAAGTAGGAACCAGTTGCCAAGTATCTGAATTTTGATGACATGATCATGGGGATGCTGCAAAGGTCGTCAGTGTGAAAAGTGGTCGTAAGTCACTTTTTTCAATGCCATTGTAACTTTGAATGGTCATTAAATAAATTGTTGTAAATCAAGGACTACCTGTATTTGGGAAACTAAAAAATGGAATTGTTACATAAGCATCATTAGCTGAATATTATAATATTGAGTTTATTTACAGTCCTGGGATTGCCAGTATTTAGGTTATGAGCAAAAAGGTAGATTTTTGGATCTTTCATTTTCAGTGGATATTGTACTTCATTTGTGACATCTAATACTGCTTTATTGTTTTAAAGACAGTTGATCATGTGATTGCATTATCCATAGAGGAGCCATTAAAAGAAATTTTAAACAACACACAGCAGCAAGCTTCTGAAGAAGCATCTCCTGAAGCACCAGAAATCATTCCAAAGCAGTCTTATTGTTTACATAAAAAGATGAAATCAGACTCAGATATTTGTAGATGTAAGTTTCTATTATCTACATGAAATCTCTAAACATAGTAAATATTATTTTGAGAGTAAGTGTTGAATTTTACGCCCACATAACTGTGCTAACAGACACATGTCAATATATCGATTCTTTCATGAAAAAAGATGAGTTAAAAAAAGATGAGTTTTGGATTGGATTCCAAACATTATTTAATACATTTCCTTCTGAAATTGAAGCTTTGTATTTGCTTTATAAAGATAAAGAATGCAAGAATGTATTCTCATGCTGTAAGATATTGTTGGAAGAAATATCCTCCTTCGTTCAGTTCCAAATGGGGAAGAAAGACACTGGAAACATTGTGACTGCTTGGAAAGATGGTTTAATGGTGGGCAGGACCACATGGCTTGGAGACTGTGGGTGAAAAAAGGGAAGTAATGCTGAAGGTCCCTGGGTTTTATGCCCTCTCTTGGGCTTTGAATTAGAGCTTGTGTTCTGATTGGTTGTCAGACTCCCATGGGGCCACGTAGAGGCAACTCTGTAGACTGTTCTGAGTCCCAGGCTTGGTTGAGCCTTGCTGGATGATGATGTAATGAAAGGGCTTTGGGATTCCTATTATGGCTCTGCCCGAAGTAGGTAGATCTTTGTTATGTAGAATAGACTGGCTCAGGCCTTAATGGCCCATTGACAAAGGTGGGAGGCTGAGTTTCTGCCTCTCTGAGTTTCCACTTCTCTTTTAGGGAAAATATTCTGCCTTTTTAGTATATCCTAAAATATTTCATTTTTCTAGGAGAGGGGTGGGTTTTAACTTCCAACAATATAAATCTGATTGAATTCATTAGGATGTCCTTCTAAGTAAAACATACCAAAGTAATGCCGTATATCATTATAGTAAGTGTTATATATAACATATGTAACATATATAACAAGTGGAACCTGCAGCAAAATACTGCAGCATTTCCCTCTCACTAAAGCAGTCAGCACTCCAAAAGTAGTCTTGAGAAAAGAAGGGGAAGATTTGAATGCTGCTTAGTCTGAAAAAGAAATTTAAAAATATTCCAACTCACTAGAATTGAAGCCCCTGTGTATGAAGGCACATTGTAGGCTATTCTGCAAGGCTTAAGTAGGGATTTATGCTTCATAATTAAAAGCCCATAGCTAGAGTTTGCATGGACAGAAATAATCTGCACAATTAGTCTGTGTTATCAGAACTGCCAGTTGTAGAAATTTCCAGAATCCCTGGACTGGCTCCTTGTTTTTCTGAACTCCATTTAATCACTGACTTTGATATTGTTGCCTCCACATTACTGATTGTCCAATTCCTGCTCTTGTTCAATTCTGTTACTGGATTTCAGTTTGACTCTCATTAGTTTGAAAAACTAACCATACATAAACAAAAGGCTTCTACCGATACCATTTTAAGACTCAAAATAGCCTTTGCCTTTTTATTATGCATTACATATTTAAACATTTTTTAAACATTTCTCCTTCCAGTATAAAAGATTATTTGGCTTATTGTGGCATTTTCTACATTTGTCCTATTTACTTTTTTTCTTTTGGAAGGTAAACCTTGTAAAGTGTTAACCTTGCTATTAGGAAGCTGTGTCATTGTCACAATCCCCTGCCTCAGGCTATGAATTACAAACAAGAAATTGCAATGATCAACTTTACAGACAAATTTGGCCTATGATAGCATAGTGGGTTGCAGTTTGAAAAGCAACAGAAAAATAACTGACAATAATTTACTCTATGGACATTTTTAAAGATGTAGCTATTTCGATAGACTTGATATCTGCAAATAAAATTATTGCATTAGTTCTCACTTTTTTTCTTTTTTGGTTAGATTCTTACATATATGAAAGAAAGGTAGAAAAGTATTCTGGAAAAGACAAACTGGACAGGAGACAAACGGTATCATTTTACTTAATACAAAATTATTTTAAAACCTACTTCCTTTAATCGGAGAATAAAACATTTCTTTAACCATCACTTGTAAAAATAAGCATGCTTAATTTGAGTTATGTTATTTGTCAGCATTCCAACAAAACTCTCCACCCCAAATTCAGCACTCAAGAGTCAAAGTCCATCCAAGTAAGAATTTATTAGAGAAGTCATATTGGCACATCTGGGGAAAACCTGAATCTGAATTCCCACATTTTCCCCTGCTATATATTAAACTCACATCCAACCCCCTTAATGATGACCCCCAAGTCACACTCTCCAATCCACCTCCATTCTGAACTCCTGCCAAGTCCAGTCGCTCCCCTGGCTACCCTCCCTTCTCCCTACTCATTGGGTTAAAACTCCCAAAGTTAATCATGGCATAGATCATGGCCTATTTTAATATAACTGGAGAATTCTTGTGTATCATGTTTTTGTGTTCAGAAGTATTGCTTTCATATTTTGTGTAAATCTTAACAGAATGTTTATTCATCATAAATTAATTCATCTTCAAAGGCCGTGGTTAACATTACCTGGATAACTGAAGAGTCAAGCAAAATAGGTTTTGTTCTGATTGGATTGGATTACATTGTATTATTCTATCCTTGCTAGACAGGAAAGTCTGCTTATATTTATTGCTTATGTATTGCTTTGTGATTTCATAGATAGAGACAAGGGAATTAAATTTAGTTAAAAAGTTATAATTTTGTTAACTGACCATGAAGTGAATTCTTAGAAGACAGATTGAGCTCCTCATGCCCCACTCCCTAAAAGTCTTCGGAGAAAATCTTCTAAACTAGTATCTGGATTTTTTTTTTTTAATATAATGTGTGTGTGTGTGTGTGTGTGTGTGTGTGTGTGATATTATACACATAATGGATCAAAAGCTTGTTTCCATCATGCATGCAAGACTACTTCGTGCTATACTTATGCTGTATCATATGCATGCTTCTGTAGTACAGGATTTGGAGGCTACTGAATTTCAAAAAGCCCTTATGAGCAGGTTAAATTTACATGATTAGGAAAATTAGTTCAAATTAGGCTGCAGAGTGAGGTTAGTATTCCGTGGCCCTTAGCTAAGGCTTACCAGATGGCATATATTCCATTTCTTTATTAGTATAATCCATGGAATTTAACATTCAGGATTCTTTTTTCTTTCTTTGCTGTATTAAATCGATTAATCATATTCTTTTAATGACCCCTAATCCCTTGCGGAGTAGAGTCTGGGCAACTAAATAGAGCTGAGTGTTTACTGGCCAGATGCCTTTCCTGTTGCCAATGCGGAGTTTTATTCAGCAGATATATTCTCACTGTGCCCAGAGAGAGAAATATCTGCCTCTACCTAGGATCGAACTCACAAGAGCTCCATCTCTAGGCCACCACGCTACTTATCATTATAAGTCGATTAATATCACTATGGAATTGGGTACAATTGCGTGTATATATAATAATTTCT